CTGCCGCTGCTCCCATCCCGGGGGGACCTTCGGGGCTCTCTGTGGCCCCAGGTGCAGTGGATGTCCTGGTCTGGGCTGGGATGGAGTTAACACTGTTTTCAGTAGCTCCATATCGCCCTGTTTTGGATTTAGGATGGGATTCGGTATGAGAAGAATGCTGATAACAGGCCGATGTTTTCTGTTGGCGCTGAGACCATCAAGGACTTTCCAGCTTCCCTCCTCTGCTAGTCTGCAGGTGCACGAGAAGCTGGGAGGGAGCACGGCCGGAGCACTGGACCCACGATTATTGGCTTGGGATTTAAGCTCAGCTTCAGCACTGAGGCCCAAATTGGACAATGTCTATTCCATATCGTCCCACGTCATACTCGGGATTTTAGAAGGATCTGCCGGGAAACGCTCCCTCTCTTCTGGAATTGTCGTTTCGGGACTCTCCCTGCTCCAGGATCATTAACGAGGAACGGGATGGGCTTTGGTCACCATATATCCCTCATTTGTATGTTATTATCATTATTATAATTTTCAATTTTATTGTGTTTCAATTATTAAATTGTTCTTGTCTCAACCCAGGAGTCTCTTTTCCCTTTATCCCTCCACGTCTCTCCCCCATTCCCTGTGGATGGGGTGGTGAGTGAGCGGCTGCGTGTTTTCATCACTGGCTGGGTTAAACCACGACACTCAGCTCATTGCCCACCTTCACCCCACAGCAAAGATTTGGGGCAGGGAGCACCCGGATCTGAGGCTGGGACCCTGTTCTTGCTGCCTTGAGGTTTGATGGGAAATGCAACCAGGAAAACCACAGCAGCTACAAGACCTGGGAATCATGGAGAGCTGGGAATTGTGGCAAATCCCTGGAAATCACAGCAAATCCCATCACCTCTGCTGGAAACCCTCCCAAGGGCAACTGCCCAGGGGCCGAGAGAAAACCCACAAATAAAGGCTGGATGCTAAAAGGTTCTTAAATATTTAGTTCAGATTTATTTAAAGTCAAAGTCAGTTTGTGGACACTATTTATATTATTAAAAACACTTGGAGGTTTGTACTTCTAGCAAAAATATACATTTCAGTTTGAGGGTCGTTACACTGTCGAGGAGGGAAGCGCAAAAAGTTCCCCAGGTGATGAGCACGTGAGTCCCGCATGCCGGCCACGGCTGGGGATGCCACCGGGGGCTTCTGGAAGGACAAATCCCTCCAGGCTCCGTGCAGCCCACACACGTCTCCGGTGCCTTCCCCGAGAGGGCTTCAAAGTGCTTTAGAAACGGTAATTCATACCACCCGGCGAGGTAGGGAGGGGAAGGGGCTGGGCAGGCTGAGGGTGGGGAAACTGAGGCACGGTGAGGAGCTGGAGGGCGGCAGCAGGGGCAGGTTTGGGACCGGCCAGCCCTGGGACATGGAGGGGAAGCCCAGCGCTCTTCCCCTTGGGGTTTTAAAGGAATTATTGCACCAGGGAAATCCGCTACCCTGAAGAGGAGGAAAATAAACCAAAACTGACTCGTTTGCTCCCACAACCCCTCCTTGGGAATATCAGTATTTTAATAAGGCTGCTCGGGACGCACGGGACCACGAGCTGCGGATGGGTAAGTGCCGCTTCTTAGGTCACACACCATCATCCCGAGAGGGAAAAAAAACCGGCTCTGTCGTCTCCCCCAGGCCCCTGGTGAGGCAGCCCCCCACGCAGGCAGCACCGTGGCGTTTCACTACAGCTGCGAGAAGTTGCGAGGTAAAGTCCCAGAACGGTTCTGGGTTTAAGCAGACCCTGAAGCCTGGAGCTGTCGCCGCACTCGGGACAGCAGCAGAGGGGGACAAGGCAGCGTCCCCAACCCGGCCACGCTCGCCAAGAAGCTCCTGCTCACTGTGAGCATCACACCCTCTCCCTCCCCTTTTCCAAGCTGTGTTGTACAGCTGCAAAGCTCTTTGCAACCAACACACGAATTAATCCTCGTGCTTCCCCACTGAGCAGAGAGCAGATGCCCATCCAGCTCCCTTTCACAGACGGGAAACTGAGGCAGGGCAGTTACCAGGTCAATGCCCTTTCAGCATCATGAGCTCCATGGGCTGGCCGTGCCTTTGCTTTCTCCTGTGGCTTTGCTTTCCCCTTGCTGGTGTTGCTAAAGGCTTCGTTTGCTCTGGTGCTCACAGGAGCCAGGCTGCTGGGGCCCCACACCGCCCTTCAAACCCCGCCGAGCCCCTGGGACTTGGGAAGGGAGCTGCAGGACAAGCTGTGAGCCCTGCCACCTAAACCCTGGCCAGTCCCAGGCTGCCCCTGGCCCTGCACAGACCATTTGGTAACTCACGTCTGCACCGAAAAGCCAGGGGAAGCCATGAGATGCTGGCCTCTGCTCGGAAGGTGAATTTTTATTAGTCAAACCCGTTCCCTCTCTCATACGGAGGTGCCGAGGGGCAGGCTCCCTCTGAAACGGGGGTCCCAGGAGCACAGGGTCCCACCCGGCGTTCAGGGGAAGGCAGAGATCACAGAAACCATTTGGTAACTCACGTCTGCACCGAAAAGCCAGGGGAAGCCATGAGATGCTGGCCTCTGCTCGGAAGGTGAATTTTTATTAGTCAAACCCGTTCCCTCTCTCATACGGAGGTGCCGAGGGGCAGGCTCCCTCTGAAACGGGGGTCCCAGGAGCACAGGGTCCCACCCGGCGTTCAGGGGAAGGCAGAGATCACAGAATCCCTCTGGGAACACCCGCTCAGGGATGGGGGCTGCAGCCGAGGTCTCTGCTAGGACAGCCCTACCTGTCTGCAAGTGTTTTTCTTTGGGAAAGAGAGAAACATCCTTTCGTTACACTGTCCCAGACTTCACAGCTCAGGACTACGTCTTCGGAGTGCAATAGAAAAAAAGAAAATAAAGACACGCTGTAAGCGCTGTTGCTGGCCCCGCCGGATCCCTGCACTGCGCTGGGGACTCCTAATGACCAGAGCATCCCCCACCGGCCCCAAGCTGCTGCAGGAACCCCACTGTCCAGGCCATGGAAACCCGCTGGCCGCTCCGGAGGCCCTGGGGAGCAGCTGAAGAGCTGGGCTGTAGTAACGGAAACAGCAGCTTATGGTTTGCCTTTGTAAATTTGTTAGTGTGTGTTAACGGAAGCCCTGGCTAGCAGGTGGTGGCTGCAACCTCCGACGGCATCTTGCCCTATGTACCGTACGTCAGGGTCATCACGTAGAAAACAGTTTCCAGTAGAAGAAATGGAAGACATGGGGAAAGATTTTCCTTTGTTTCTGTACAAAAAGTCTTGATGGGAATCCATGGCTTCATTCTCATAAATAACAGGTCCTTAGTACATGTCCTTGTAGATCTCTTGCAGGAGCGGGTGCAGAGATGTCTCCGTCTCCGTCTTCTTGATCTTCTGCACCAGCTGCGTGTGCTCCGTCACCAGCTGCCGCAGGTCTGCCATCTTCTGCAGCAGCTTGGGGAAGAGGTACTGGGCATCGGGGTGGTTGGACTGCAGGTGGAACTCCAGCGCTCGCAGGATGTTGTCTTGGATCTCCTCCACCTGCTTCACGTTCATCAGGCCAGGACGGTCTGTGGGGAGGAAGGACGTTAGCTGCAGGGTTATGGTGGAGCTCTCCAAAGGACAGGCTCCTCCTGGGGAAAGGGAGACGGGGGCTGTAACCCACCCACCGGGACTCCAACGTCATCAACTGGACAAAGGGAGAAGCGTGCCCTTGGACAACGTATCCCACAGCAGCGTACAGGGAGGAGATACCACTTCTACGCTCCTTGTCCTTGGTCCAAGCTAGGTGTCACTGCCACAGAGAAGCTTTGTTTTCACTTCTCTTGTCCCCCTAAGAAACCCCTGGCTGATCTCAGGGCCAGCTGCAGCTCAGCTCCCCCAGCCCACCCCAAACCACCCCTA